TTCACTTGGAGAAATGAAAAAAAAACATATCAATGAACGATTCAGTTCAAAATTGTTAGGACTTGCATACTAGCTAAATAACAGAATCAAAGATGAAGAATAGTTGCAAAAGTGTATCCAAAATACTTGTCACAGATGCATTATTCAGCGTTTTTTTTAAAAATTCGTAATCTAACGCTTGACTTATTGAAGACTGAAGTGTAAGTGGTAATAACTTCCCGAGAATTTTGTACAACTAAAAGATACTGACATTATTAACATTGAACATGCTCTTCAGTATTAGAGTTACCCTCATTCTACTTCACATTTTTAGTATGAAAGTTGTTAAAAACGATTTACTGCAAATGGTCGTTAGTGAGTGGCACAGAATATCAGAACCTCTTGAAAATGGTTTAAATGCAATCAGATCCTAAACATGGAGAAGAGTTATTCAACATTAGACATTTTAAAACATCAGTACGACTTTCCCACGAACTTGGAGAAATGAAAAATATAACATCAAATCATCGAACTGTAAAAAGACTTTTTTTAAATGACAAGCATCTAATTGCATGTCATCACTAAGCCGTTTTTTGCCTGTTAGCTCCCCAATTAGTTTCAACAGATAAAGAGTTTTTACAACTTTCTGAGCACACGTTAAGTTCTTAAATCATCAAACAATTCGAATTCCAAATGTCAACAGAACCCTTTTATTGTAGAGTCTTTTGCTTTCTCCCCTCAATCGTTTAATGTTTTAAGAAGTAGAGCTTTCGAAACTTGGAAAAATTGTTTTATTAGGACAACAAACATCATAACACAAATTAAGCTAATAAGTGATTGTATCAGTAATGTTTTTCAACAAGTCATTCATAAACAAATCTCAGTTTTCCATTCAAAAAATGTTTTTCAAATCTTAGATATTTCCTTACGAGTAGTCCCTAGATTTAACTTTCATCGTTTGGTAGAAAAGAGTGAATTTTTCAGCTTTGAAATATATTTTGGAAAGAAAGTGAATTATACAGAGTTTAGAACTGAGAGGAGAAGCTCCTCTGTGAGTCTCATATATTCCTACATTATTAGTGAAACTACATGAAAATGAGTAGGGAAACAGACTAGGCTTTCAGAATCAACAGATGAAGGTAAGCTGGAATCACCTAAGTTGAGATATGGACATTCTGAATGATTATTTTCTGTAATTACAAGTTCGTCTGAGACTAGTAGAACGGTATTTTCGCCCTGAAACTTGATATCTGAATGAACCTACATTCCAATGTTAATATCCACATGGAGAATCGAACCTATTTACTGAAGCTTTGAAAACCAGTGACATATCCAATAAGCAACTAAGACCAAATATTTGATAAGAAAAATCTGTTTGTTTAAAGACAATAAACCCTGGAAAATTATTTCCTTTTACTTCAGTACACTATGGCAACAGTTGTTGATTGAACTTGAATAAACCAATCATAATTAATCTGTCCACCATTGGATAACTTAATTATTGTTTATATGAATTATACTTTTATTTATAAGAGACACTCATTCAAGACTATTTATCCGTTGATACATTACATAGATAGATTCATTTTATATTGTTTGTTTGAATTATCCTATTAATGTTTAAAACTAAAATTGATTAGGCTCTTATTGGCAATATATGTGCATTCTGTACAGGGATTGCCTCGATATTACTTCAAGTCATAAACAATCTAAGCAAAGATGGTAGATAACATAGTTAACATTATCACTATGAGAACGAAAAAAATCTCTGTTGTTAATGTTTTATCATTTGAAAACAAATGAATTCATCTTTTCTTCATGATGAAGATTTTGTTTAAACAACTGCTTCAATGTATTGTGAAGATGTTTGTTAGGATCATATGAATAGTAAAATATTTAAACATGACTACAATGTGAAAGTTTTTAACAAGCATCTATTATTAAATATATCTTAAATGAATACGTTCAATAGTTATTTGTACTTTTATTTGTACATCATTAACATTATCGTGTGTATGTGGGATAGGATATTGACTAGGGACTCCAATCAAAGTAAGTGACTTCCTCAGGAAATCAATTCTCCAAAAATTGAATTGAAAGGTCTAAACCATAGTGTAGTAGAGAACTGCCAGACATTACAATGTAATATTAGAAAGGAATCAGAATAGTCTTGTACACTATTCATTCTCTCAGCTTCCTGGATTCCATGTATATCACTGGTTTTGAATAAAAAAATTTCAGCTCCTCATAATTGACCTTCAGTATCCAACAACCTGATGTAAGCTTTGGACATTCACTTTTTGCCCTCTCAGTTTTGTGAAAATAATCTCACTCTACATAGAAGTAGTGAGTAACATTTCTCTAGCAGAGCCTATGGTCACGAGGATGGAACTCTTTCCCCAGCTTTTAATATCACTTTAATATATAAATGACAGAAAGTTTCGGTTCTCCGTTTACGTAAAAAAGTTTAGTATTTACTTAAATCTGCTACAATTTTAGTCAAAAGTTTCAAAGAATTATATTACAGGGGTTGACTATCGAGTTTATAGTTTATATAATTTCTCAAGCTCATTAACCTGACCTGATAATAGCCTAAGGCCATATACGATCAATAGATTTACATAAGATTGACATAAATATGTACATATATACGTCTTTACGCGAAGAATTTAAACACATTTAGTTGTTGCTAAATTGAAATGGTGGTCGAGCTTGCCTATTGTGATGAACCATTCGAGGTACACTGGCTGGAAAAATCGTTCCTCAAGGTCCTATGATGCCAGACAGGTTGACTGAAGAGCGATGAGACTAAAAGCGGCAAACCCAAGGTCTGAGGGTGAAGTCGTACTGCTAAATGTACAGACGTGTGACGACAGTAAGATGTTTCCTTCAGACAACCAGTATAACAGCAATGCTGCCTTCCCACATGGCGGGGTGGGATTAGAAAATGTCGAACCTAAAAATGCGAACCTGGCCTTATCCCACAGATATCCGTCTCCAGTAGTAAGGTCCCAACAAGTACGAAGCTAACAAGAAAATTACTAACAAAAAGTTCGTGTAAGGCCGACCTCAAGCACTTGTTCCTTGGGCACTGTGGTCACGCTCTCAGGTCATTAAGACCCCCCCCCCTAATCCAATTTCATTTTCAAGTACCACCGAAGAACCCTTGCATAGTGTGGGCAACCGGGAAGTGATAATCCCCCCCATACCTCTAACGGCACTCAAGACCACCAAATAACTTACATTGACACTACACATTAAAAATTAAACATTTCACTCCAAATCTCAGATTTATTTAAGTGACTACTGTATTTATCTTCGATTTAGTTTGTTTTTTCCCGGAAGAGTTAGAGAGATTGTCAAGTGAAACGTTACAGTTTATTTTGTTACACAAAAATCTGTCATTGAAAATGAACTTATCAACTTAAATAAAATTGAATCATTGAATTGTTTCATATTGAAAGTTGGTACTTCACTTGTATACACAGATGATTGAATTATCTTGTATATCAGGCAATCTATTTATTTGTTATACTTTGATTGATTATTACTTTCTATAAAAGAAATTTATACTAAATAGTAATGTCGTTATAGTAGAAATGAAGTGTTTTTCAATATTTGTTTGAATTATTTTCCAACACGATGATCAAGTAGTATGATCCTTTATTAAATATTGATCGGAAAACGGTTGAAATAGCAATGATCTATGAATGATAAGGAAAGAGAAACGAGATGTTTGTATCAAGACATTGAAGAAATAGATTCTTTTTCAATTAGCCCCATATTATTATGAATTCATAGTTGATATTTAAGAAGTCTTGTCAGTCTAGGTGATTGTGTGTTTGATGAAGTCTCGGGAAAAATGAAGAAATCTCAGTTGGCTTTTACGATCTTGCATCACTTTCGGCTTAGACAAGATAAACAAGATGTCTGGCAAGGGAGGAGAATGTATAATGTGCAATGATTTGCTCTGTTTTTTTTTATGACTGACACCTAAACATTCGTAGGTTGCTAGTATTTGATCATAGGTTTCTCCGAAGCTTTTATGACGTGTGTGTGTGGCTACTGAGTGGAGAATACTGTATGACACACAATACCAGAAAAAAAAGGCTAATCAACTAGTGAGACAATAGTTTTTCATCCACTATGGTAGTTGAGCCTTTTATTGTTTATATGCAACTACGGTCTACCTCAATGCGAGTCCTTAGCCGGTGTAGGAGTAAGCTAGTGAGGAAAAGTGGAAGATCTTGTGTTAAAAATCATAAAATGATCGATTGTCGAGCTGAGCCATATTCAAAGATGCAGATCATCTGATTGAGGTTTACAAGAAACTACGATCAGTGGTTGGAGACGTTGATTATATGGCTCTGGACAAATCCTAGTGTCACAAAAGTATTCACTCTTTGTTTTTCTATGCATACTGAGTTCTAGTTAATAATATCTTTAATTCCACGAAATTGTTTTTCTTAAATCATATATAATCTATTTTACTAGCACTGATACCATTACGACTTCTGTTGTTTTAGTATTTTTGTTGATACTTTAATCTTGTTGTACCTTTCAGTATAGCTTTTTATAAGTGTTATCTATCTAAATGATTCAGTATATCATATAGTTCGCCTATAGAGGAAATAACATAAATCCATATAGACGCAGACAATCTTTGTGTTTAAATTATACTCTATTTCTTTGCACTAACTATTTACTTAGCTTCAGAATAACACTGATGGGTTTCATCGTGAACTTGTGTAACCAATTTGGATAAGTAACAAAATGAGTAAACATTTTTTTAAAATGCATTTAATTATTAACTTACGATTAATGATACATAAATGTAATTCATGTTGATAAAGCTTGACATATAAAAATGATGATTATCATAACCATTAAATGTTAATTGTTTACAGAATGTGAGTAATCAGTAGAGTTGTAAGATTATAGATGGATAGTTTTTGTAGTGAAATTGAATAACAACTAATAAATATTCTCTTTCTTTCTAATTCTTATCTTTAAATAAACAGGAGCTGCAGAAAAATCTTTACGTCATGGTGCTGTAGATAAAGCTCAAGCTGCTATGGAAGCAATACGTGCATTGATTCAACGACGTATTACTGAACGATCAGATATTTTCGAATTTTTAGCTAATGTTTTTCAAATTGATGTACATTCAATGACACATTTAAATGCTTTAGAGTTTGCACAAAAAAGTATTGTAGCCGGTGCAAGTCAATGGTCAGCTAAAATTGCAATCACTGGTAAATTGTTATTTCTTTAGTATTAAATTATTCAATCTGTTTTTTCTTTTAAATTTTGAATGATTTAACTTTCCATGTTGCATGTGGGATATAGATTCATCGAAGAAAAACTGGATGATAGTTGTGTAATATCGTGAATTGATTGGAATTATACATTAACACTATTGGATTAAGGATCAATAGTTGCGAGTTTAAGCGTTCGCATGCGCAAATGTAGGTCGTTGGCTCGATCCCGAGATGTGGGATTGGGGATGAGCACTGCTAAAGGGTCCCATACTATAATAAAACGGTCATCCAGAGCTCCCAGTTTTTAAATGGTCGTCTAATTAACATCAATTGGTGGTTTAAACTGTAGTAAATTGAATTGTTAATTGTTAGAGATCAACTGAAAAGAAAATTTTCTCTAATGAGATAGCTTGGAGGCAAAAGCTCAGTCAATTCATAGGTTGACTTTAGTAGTACTCTCGGAAGATATATATTCTATTTAAAAGTCGAACAGATTTGGTTGATTGAAATTAAGAAGTATGTATATTATTAGAAGTCAGTTAGCGAAAGTATCTAATTTTACCAATGGCATTGTAAATAACATTGTCTTTTTTTGTTTGTTTCACATTTAAGTGACAATTATCATATAAATTAATGATAGTGAATATACTTAAACCATTAATAATGTTGCAGTCTTACTAATCACCTCAACCGCGAGTTATTTTCTTGTAATTCGATTTTTCGCATGGCCTTTGATTTCAGATTGGTGGCTTCTAATTTTGGATAGCTAATTTTTTGTATGCTTTAAGATTGTGCTTTTGTTACTGCATATACTGAGTTTTATCATTTCAGGTTGTTCTGTTTGATGAACAAGTTTTGTTTACAGTCTATTTTCTTCCTATTGTTAGCGGCTAAATTCTAACGTTCTGTATGCTAGTTGACGTTATCAAGTTTACAATAGAACCGTTTATATAAGAATAGCCTAATCATTCGTTAATTCACGAGTATTATAGGTCAATCGGAAAACCTCAGTACATGAGTCATTATTATCAAGATAGAATACAAATCATGGTAAAATTTACAAGTATGTGCAATCATGATATTTTACTATTGAATACAAATAGAATCAATTCTTCTAAATCTTAATCCTCTGAATTCTTCATGTCCCCTTTTTTCGTTCCAAATTTATCCCACTGGATTATACTCCTTGACTAACATCTTCAAACCATGATCTTTTCGATTGCTGCTATTACCTTTACTACCTCTACCACTATGGTATTTGAATCGACAATTGTATCTTTGTGGTAATGTGGTATGGGAACCAGAACTGATGTAAATATGCACGAAGTTCTACGTTGATACTGAATGATTGAACTGTTATAATTGAGTAAATGAATGGAGATGTGAAACTTCGTGAAATATTCCACGGTGAATTAGTTTATACATCTTTAATATGTAATTATTATGTTACCTGATATGTAAGCTTCCATTTGACATATATTGGCTGTCAACGCTATCTATTTTGCATTCACGAATTTCATTAAATTAGTTATAAATCTATTATTTAGACTTATACAACGAATATCCTGGTTTTGTATACCGTGAAGTTTAATGTTTACGTTGGGTCATTTTGGGTCTTGTATTTTGTGGTACATAACTGACAGTTTGCTTCTTAAGGGTAAAACCCGTAGTATAAGTAACAAAATACAATGACGTATACTGAAAACTGATAAATACTACTTATCATAACAAGTAGCATATGTAATTTATTAATTACTCATAATAATGGTTTAGTTGTTCAAGATAATAATTTGTCGATCATCTATAGAGGCTTTACAGTATTTTGATTAAAGCTAGTGCATATAATGTATGAATTCACAGCAATTTTGAACATAATGTTAGTGTAACTCGTTTATCAGGTGTAAGTTTGTATTTTTCGACTTCGTCCATATTGATCGTTGTCAAATTGTCAATCAGCCAGTCAGCTACATTGTAGGACCAGGAATACATATGCATCAGTCCAAGTTGCCATACCTCATTAGCACAACAAGATGAACACCGAATTCATAGTAGTTAATTTAAGAAGGATTACACAGAAGGATATAATACAGGAAGAAAGAATTAAGGCAATTTTAGTCGTTGGTGAAGATGACGATGTAGATGTAAGACGTATAGTATCCATTCAAAAAGGGTTGAGCAAAAGGGCATACATTAATAAAGGCATCTATCGAATAGGCGACTATAAAAAAGAATCATATTATTAAAGTTGAACATTGAAAGGAGGAATAAAATTTTCAGTGGTGTGAAATATATTCGGTTTGCTTTTTGTTTCTCATCCCTACGACCAACCAAAAATGTAGTTATCTAAACGTCTAATGAAGAGTCCACTTTGGATAAATATTGATTCTTCCAATTTGATGACAAATTGTTATTTTTATTACGCTAATTATGTTATCTCTTAAGTCTAATTCAAACATCTAGAGGATAGTCTATTTAGAGGGCTGTTTCGAAAATACTTGAGAAATGTTTAGTGAATGCTACAAACGTGTCCTTTTTTTCAGAATTAAAAAGTCATATTCAGTATTCTTTATTCTATGTATTCTCGAAACTGTTGTTGCTTCTACTCTTTAGCAAAACTTAACCAACTTTTACTCATTCAATTGTTGACATTCGTGTAAATAAGAGTCAAATGACTAGGTTTTATTTAATATTAGTCGGATGAACAGGTGGAGCTTAATAAGTGGATCTCATAGAATTGATATTATTAAGTAACATGAGGATTATTAAGTATATATGTAAGTCAGATTATCATTTATTCCAGTTAAAATTATACTCAAATTACCGTTTAATAGGAAAAATGTTTAAACAGTTTATTTAAATTGTAAATCTAACTAAATTACAACAATACCTTCAAGATGATCTCACTGCGGAGGTGATAGTAGTTCATCGATTTAAACATGGGTTATATATATGCAAAAGTATCAAGTCAAATTATCATTATATCGTAACGCTAATACGTAATCTTCACTTTGCCTGTAGCTTTTCTAGAGTTACTGACGGTCTCAAGCCCGGGTAAAAGAGGAGGGTTGAGCATGGGGTTAGCCACCCCATCCCGTAGATAACTAACTCGCCAAAAAACAAAACGCTAACCAGAAAAAATAAATGATTATTTATAAGTTTAGGTGTTGTGGAGATTGTTAAGTTTTTGATTGAAATCATGAGTGAATTGAAGCTAGACCAACATGGAGAACCTGGAAGCACTGGACGCCGTTTCGTCCTACTATGGGACTCCCTATCAGTGCGCATCCACGATCCCGCACCTCGCAAGATTCGAACCCAGGACCGTCTAGTGCTTCCAGGTTTTCCATGGTGGTCTAGCTTCAATTGACTCATGATTTCAATCAAAAACTTGACAATCTATACAACACCTAAACTGATAATTACCATGTGCTCACTAGTGACTAGCTTCGTGAGAAAATTCTCGGAGTTCTGGTGAGAAGCCGTGACCAGTGGAGCTAATCCATGTCGGGTAGAAACAGGTGTCTACCTCAGTACAATGGAAGGCAGAGATAGGTATCTGCCACAGTACAATAGAAGATGGTCGCAAAATTTCGTGGATTGGTTGAGGTTAGACATTAACACCATTGGATGCCAGCTCAGTGGTCTAGTTGGTTAAGCGCCTGGCGCGAGGCTGATTATTTATAATTTGTTTTAATTGTTTTTTATTTTCTAGTTATTTGTTATTATCACCTTCATGTTTTTAATTTACTCTTCATCTTTCTCATGCTCTTTATTTAGATAATTATCTTTCACACATTCGGTTTTTATCTCATCATTTTTCTTTTAATTCTTGGTCTTTGCGCGATCTTATTTTAACCCTTGATGTTGTGTACTATTGATTATATTCTTCAATGGATCAAGAGGAGTAATGAGCATAAGTAAGTAAGCAAGTAAGTAAGGAAGTGACACAGACATTTAAAATTTGGATTCCGACTACTCGACATGTTGATAACTCCTGGGCTTTTAAGGGCGATTTATTGTCGCAATAAAATAATCCTGGGAACTGTATTAACTGACTGAATACAATTCATCAAAAGAGGTAACATCAACTTAATATAGATGTAAGTTCAGCGTACATTATAAAAATTTCCTAAACCCTTTTGGGATTTTTAAATGTGAATATCCAAATTATGCGCTATTCCACATAGATAGTCTAGTGTTGATCTGTTTTTGTAATCTTCTACGACCAGTTTTATACGTACTGCTGTCTCTTTACACTTTCCTTCTAAGTACTGTTCCTTGATTTCTGCATCCGACCGTTCGATTTTGAATTCATTTAGATTTTGTTACTTCTTTAGACCATCATGAGTTTTCTATATACTTGGACAAGCGGCATTTATAAGTTCGCTAAATCCTCAATTCCACACCCGCATTATACGTTTTGGGAGGTTCTTCCACAACAAAGAAAGAATCGAACATATTTCACACTATTACGAATGTTATTTTTGCTTTCAATGCTCAGCTTTATCAATGTGGGCCTTTTTGATAGGTTGCCCTTATCAATGTGCAACTGATTTCACTCTCCCTTTTGATAGTCACTTTTGTTCGCTTCCTTTCTCATGTGAACCTAGATGGCTAAATTACAGTGTACTCGTCTGTTATATTTTCTCAACGGATAGACAACAAAGAAAATATCCTAACATTTTCATTATTTCACTTACTTTAATATTGAGTAACATAACTCAGAATCAGTCACAATGATACAAATGTAGTCATTTCTTTATTTCCCTCCGGATCTTGAGTTCCATTGTTCCTTCATGAATACTTTTTCTCTATGTCTAATAATAATAATAATAATAGTAATAATAATAATAATATTTTCTGAAAATAATAATTACAGAATTCACGCAAGTTAACAGGCATGATCAATTTGATATAAATAGTAAAATTAGATGTAGAGAACAAACATGTGACATAAGATAGTTTTAAGTATTTTAGTTCAGTAATTGTTTAGG